TGTAAATTGAATGAAATTATTGTACTGTTAAACTTCGATAACTCGAGCATTCCTAAGTCAAATACCACCCTCTGCTTAATTATTTGAAGCCTCTTTCTGAATTCCCTTAAAAACAATGCATTGAGAACCTCTTGAGCTCAAAGGCTTTCCTCACAACCTCATTTTCTGGAGGTCTTTTGGCCATTACCTTTTTTGGTACAGAAAGAGTAAAACAATAAAAATGTCAATTGATATGTTTTAAATGTAAGTGAAAGACTTGGTTAGGCAAAGGAAACCATTCCCTCCAAGTTCAGCACCCTGTCAACTGATTTGAAAATAAATTTAAGATCTAGCAGATACTCTAGAACCAGTGTTCTCCAACCCTGCAACCCATGGTTCAAGGACCTGTGCCAGTCCACAACAGTTTTTTGCAGGTCAATGGAAAATGTTAACCACAATACAATGATCAACAGTAGGGATGTAGTCTGTTATTTGTACCTAATATTTTGGAAGGATAATGACAGTTGAGTTTATATGACAAAGAAGTTTGATTTTCTCCTAATAATACTCAGGACAACTTTTCAGGTGCTGAAATAAATTTTTGAAGATGTTCATTCTGAGAAACCTTTCTTCAAGCCCAACTTTCTAATTTTTCATGACATTCTGCTATAGCAGCTTCATTGGTGCTCAACTCAATATTTGCAAAGAACCAGAAACTTTTAAAGTCCTGCCATGAAATCTTCCAAGCCAATCTTCTATGAGTCTTCAAAAATTTTATGAAATTTTGCTAGTCTGAAAAAAATATTTTTGGAATTTGCTGATCCACCAAATATGTTATGGAAATTTGCCAGTCTGCATGCCAAAAAAAAGGTTGGGGAATACATCTCTATAGAAAATCTCCAATTGAAATTTTATGTAATTCTTCTTCATTTCTCCCAACACAAATGCTCATTTCCCCAACTCAAAACTTCCACAAATCTTATTTTTGCTGATCCTTTGATGTGTCTTGGGGATTCGTTCACCAACATAAAAGTTCCATAAATAAATCCCCGCAATCGGCTCGAAAGTGGCTGATAGTCTCTTCATAGAGGACCAAAGTAGGTCGAGATTTATTCTTACCCCAAAAAGGAATCAACAACTCTGCATCTGTAGAGAAATACACAAAATAATTTGTAAAAGCTTTCAGATTTTTGGTTCTGTTTGGCGCAAGATTCAGCAGTGGAAATGAGAAGCCCGAATGGGAATGAGCGGCTAAATGAGAATGAGCTATTGATTTCAAAAATTTTTAAATATTCTAATGACGGGTGCGTGGTCCCCAAAAATGTTCAACTTGAAGAGTTTCAACGGTACTGTACCGTACTTCATATACAATACAAAAGGACGGCCTTGTCTGTATAATACGTGTATAGGCAGTAAAATGGAGTCAGTACGGGTTCTCTGATCCCACGACTGGAGGCTTCCTGTTCTGGAATGGGAATGCAATTATGAACTCTTGGGGAAGCCAAGAGATTTCTCGGGCTTCCCTCGTCACAGAAACTGCATGACCTTTCTCGACTCATCGAATTCCTGAAACTTTTGGAGCAGAAGAATTGAGTCTCCGTTTTCCCCGCGGTCCGGGCAAAGGAATTGATTTCACTGACGACGGGAAGTGCAACGCTGAAAACGCGTATCTTTTTCTCTTTTTTTTTGCCGGAAAATGCGAATAATCTGATTTGTGACCCCAAAGTACGTTATCGAATTTTTTATGATTTCGATACCGCTGCGGGGATAATACAATTTTTCCACAAGGACCTTGATCCTCGTCCTTGAAAAAATGTCATAGTTTTTTTCTGCGTTTAGATGGGAAATGCAATATTTGGTAATAAACAGGCAATAAAAATGCGGTGGTAGCAGGACAGTGATTTTCGGGAGCTGGAAACATTTTTAATTCTTTTATTGGTAGAGCATTCAGATTATATTTGGCAATCTTGAAAGCATAATTCATGTGGGGTAGAATTTTGCCAATTATTTCCTGAAAGTAAAACATAGAATGTTTTTCTTCAATAGAAACAAGGTCCCTGCATATCTGATTGTCAAGAGCTGGAATACATTTTTTTCCTTTTATTGGCAGATCATTCAAAATATATTTGGCGATTTTCAAAATTTAATCAATACATGTGAGAAAAAACTTTGCCAATTTTATCTAAGTAAAATTTTTAATCTTTCCTTCATTGGTAGTCCAAGAAATCTGATGATCAGATGTTTTCCATGGACATTTTTCAAGTGGGATTAATTTCAAATTCATCTTGACTTTAAAGAAGAATGACCCATTGTTCCAGAAAAAAAGGTACTATGTGCAAAAGCTTCATTACTTGATACTGTTCTACAAAAACGTTAAAATTCTTGCAAAAATCCAGTTATTGAAAAATGTACGCTATGAACAAAAAATTTGAAATGGAGTAACAATTGGATAAAATCTGTCTTTTTTCATCCTAGAAATCCGATACTGTTTTTACATGTTTAAGCAGAAAGGAAAGTGAGGGATCCTCTCATTCTAGGAATCCTAGTATGGGGCAGTTTTTTTATTTTTTTTTAGCCCAGCTTTTCCCTCAGAATTCTTGAAATCAACGTGGCATTAATTTCAAGGTTTGCCTCCAGGTCTTCCCAGGTAATTCCGCCATTTTCATCAACAGCCGCCTTCACAACCGCTACATTGGCGGTTGTGAATTATTCTTCAGGGAAAACATATTCTTTGGCGCAAAAAAAATCAGCCCTGTTTGAAATTTTTTTTTTTTCGTTTTGCAAAATTCACCCTGGCAGAGTTTTGCTATCCACTCAAAAGATGAGGCGCCCTTCCTGCAGTTTTTTACGAGGTAACTCCGCCATTTACATCAACAGCTGCGTTCACTGCTGCCACATTGGTGGCTGTCAATGAAAATGGCAGAATTACCTTGGAAAAAAATGCAGGAAGGGCGCCTAATCTTTTGACTGGATAGCAAAACTCTGCCAGGGTGAATTTTGCAAACAAATTAAAAAAAATTGTCAAAAAGGGCTGATTTTTTTGTGCCAAAGAATATGTTTTCCCTAAAGAATAATTATTTTTCAGCTTGATTAGACGCCATTTTATTTTGCATTCCGATAACTTTTGTTAGAACCCTCGTACGTATGTGCCTCGACTTCAAGGAGGGGAAACACGTTGCAGTACAACATGCTCATTTTATTCCAACAATGTACTCATGCAGGAAAAAAAAAAGCTCACAAGGTTGTTGTTCATGTGCACACTATAGTCAGCCGCAATAACGAGCCGGGATCCGTTGTTGGTTCAGCGAAATGCTGCGGAAGCAAATAATTAGACATTGTTCTCGTCGTGAGTGCGTCAGTGAGCCTGATGCTGCCAAATTAACAAAACTCGTGTGTAGTTAGCAAAACTCGTGTGTACAGCAGAGACGTGCCATTAACCTCGGCAGGATATCAAGTTAGCCAGAAAGCAACACATGCTCAATTGCAGTTGAGACAACACACTTTGAGTTTCATTTCCCGACTGTGCTGCTGTGCGTTCACAGAAGAACTTACCACAAAGTAACATGGTACCCAACCGAAAGCCCCCCTGCCAAAAGCCCTCACCCACTTTTTTTTTTATGCAAGTTTCATAACAGTGTTTGGTGGCCCTGAGAAGGGCTGCTTGGTTTCATCAGTTTTCAAAAATGACTTGTTAAATAATCATCTTCAAAATTGTCTCCTGCAGCCTCTTCCTCAGTGTCACTGATGCTCTCAATGTCATTTTCCTCTCAATGTGGCCCTCCTACCTCATCTCCTTCATTAGCACATTTCCAGCACCTAGTACTGGCATTTGTGCTAACCATGAATAAATAGCCATTGTAGTATGCCTCTTCACCACCCTTCTGATTTTTGATGATCTGAAGTGCACCAGCCATTGGATCAACAAGGTGAACTGTAGATTTTGCAGAAGTCAGCGAGTGACAATGCTTTGACATTCAAAGAATCACCAACGACCACTGCAGGTGAGGAATCCCTTTATATGCTCAACTTTACAAACATATTGGTACTTCGCCTTGTGCTGGGCCTGCTAGTGAAAGGTGCAGCTTACCATCACGAGTTACAAGAAGACCTGTAATCCCCAATTTTTGCACCTAGGGGGGCTTTTGACCTAGGGGGCTTTTGGACCACACCCAAGTAACATACTGTATTGTGAAATTGTGAAGCAGTTATGTGGATAACCGTGCAAAAACGATTTTTTTCACAGAACCGAGTCGTACTTTTATGATGCTCCACTCAAGATTTAAAACACTAAAAAAAACGATGACCATCTCCATTGAGTTAATTTTTAAAAACCCCCATTTGAAAGTTATTCTTCTCAGTCATGCTTTCAGACTGCAAAATAGCTTTGGATTTTTCATCCTTCAGAGATACCGTAAATTGTTTCTCATCTGTGATTTTATTCTTCATTAATCCGAAGAAATCTTCGTGATTGAAAGAAATTCATCATGCAAATTAATCCACTATTCAAGAAAAATCAGGGACTGACGAACTTGCGTCGTAAACTCCGTTAATGGAATCATCATGGAAGAAGCCAGCTGCTACCTTTTTTCTTCTCATCTGTGCATTACGGAGATCCATAAATTACTTAATTATTTGATCACGCAACACAGTTTGCTCCCTTTTCTACTTCCACAGCACGAAAACTTCCATAATGTTCAGCGTACATGAGAGAGATAATTGAAAGTTTCAGCATAGCGTGACTTGATTAGGATTCCATGTACAGGCTGCAAGTGTTCGTGGCGAAGAGCGCCATCTAGAGGGCGGAAATGCTTCATGCTTAATTGCTCTTTAATTAGTCGCATTTTTAAATTCCTATACACTTCAATAAAATGGTTTTCCCCACAAATTGCTTTACGAATCCTTTCCTTTTCTTCTTTTTTTGAGGGGCGGAATACGATTATAATGCTGAGGAATATGTTTTGCCTGGAGATGGCGGAGAATAGGAGCATCAATTGATTTGTTTCCTGGTTTTAATGTTGAGATTAGCTAATGCTTGGTTTCACAGCATCAAATTTTGATATTCGCGCGTAAAACTGTTCCTCATCCAACTGCGCAGTTGAGAAACGAACGTGCTGAAAACGAAGGCTTTGAAAAATTTAGACGGCAAGAAACGTGACTGAATAATGCAGTATTTTTTTCGTATTTTGTCTCGGATTCTTGATTTGAGGGTCCACTGAAGGTTCTTCGGCAAAATTTCTATGTATTTCAGAATTTCGCTTGAAAATTTCTGAGAGTTTTAAAAATGTCTAAACTTGCGAAGGATGTTATATGCACATTTTGAAATTCAAATTGATGCAAAAATTGAAATCGGAGATATTTTTGAAAAGCTCTGTTCGCCCTCATCTATTGAGCGTACAGTAATTTTGTTTCCAGAAAATTTCAAACTTGTTCTCTCATATGAATTATGAAAACACATAGTACAGTACCTGCTCATGGAAAGTGTGCAACGTTTTGTCAAGGAACCAGTTCAAGTACATACAGCTGTCAGTTTTCATCTGTTCTACAAATTATAGAGGCGAAAATACGCGCTGAACCCAAATTTTCAACACGAATTTTCATGAGGTAATGTTCAATACCGTTTTTACTCAAGAACTCCTCATTACTGGGGGCACCATAAATTTCAAATTGTAAATTTTGGAGAGAAATATATCCCCACAGCCCAGCTTTCTTCTTGAACTTGAATTTTTCTGAAAAATTCACCTGCCATTGTCTTTCCAAAATTTCAGATAAAGATAACAGACTTCATTGCTCCTTTTCATAAATTTATTTTGCTGAAGAAAATTCCAGCAGACAGGCAAAAACTTACAGTGCAGGATACAGTGAGACCCCCACATGCGGACACCTTGACCTGTGGACAATCAACATAGGGAAACTTATTTTCCCATAAAAAAGGCCCGACATGAGGACACTGACTCGACATAGGAACATTTTGTGATAAAATTGCAAATACATTTCAGGCCAAATTAAATGAAACAGATATTTCCAACCCTAAAATTGATGTGAGAAAAGATCTTGGGCATTTCTCTCACCAATTTACCACACATTTAGCCAAGTTAAAAGAATTACCGTCAGCATAGAGGGACTTCCTTCTCTCTTTTTCACTTGAATGTTATTTTTACAGAGATTGCCAACATTTCTATGTACTGTACAGAGATAACAGTATCAGTATTAAATTTTCCAAATGTCCATACAGTACTGTGTTGAAATATATTGTTTGTATCAGTTAAAATTTGGAGACAATTTTTATTTTCATGGATTTATGGTGAGTATTTTGTGCTTTGAACACCAATTAAAGATTACATAACATAAGTCTAAGGGAAAAGGAGACTCAACTTAGAGACATTTTTACTTGAGGACACTCTTGATGCACCAATTACAGTCAAACCCCTTTAAGCCGCCCCCAATAAACCGCCACCCTCACCTCCTGCCATATTTTTACCCCAAACAAATTTCCCCAATGTTAAAATGATAAGGAAACCTCAGTAGACTGCCATCTGCCAACAATTTCCTGGCCACAGATAGGCACCTGCCCTTGTTTTTTTACCCCTTTAAACCGCCGATTTGGAGAGAGATTCAATTTTAAAATACGAACAGAATGCAATGGCTGAAAAATCAAAACCAGTGATACAATGCAGGATGCAATATGGAAACCAGGATGCAATATTTGCTACAAAATTAAACAAGAACACTAATAAAAATGCACAAGAAGTCATAAATTAATGTAAAGATATTCTTCTTATATCCATCATGCTTTTTCTTAATTTTTTTTTTTTTTCGTAGTAATTTTGTAGTGAACCACTACCCTCAATAGACCGCCACCCTTGTTAAACCGCCAAAATCTTGCTGCACAGATGTTGGCAGTTTAATGGGGTTTGACTGTACTTCTGCATCTTATTGGGGTCTTAATGTATTATTGATTAAATACTGCGAATTATTTTTTTTGAAGATTAATTCTCTGATGCAATGAAATTTCATCATTTCCCCTTAGGGTGTCGCTGGGATATCCGGTTTCGGCGCATTTCATTCCCACGGCGACCAAAAGTCCCGCTTCCAACGATGCCACTCGACTGCGCAGTCGTTCACGCAAGACGAGCGCCTGCACTCGTGCAGCTTCTTCAAGAACCGTCGTCGGGCCAAGAGTGAATTCGACTTGCCGAGTCTGGCGCTGCACTTGTCGAGGTACCACTTGAACACGCGGGCGTGTCAGGCGCCTTCTTCCCAGCTGCAGCAGCAGCAGCAGGCGCCACCGCCGCCGATGGTCGTCGCAGCGAGGACCATGTCGATGACCAACAAGTCCTTTTGCTCCGCCCGACCGCCGCCGGTCACGTTCCCGCATCAGCCGAGGCGGTTCGTGACGAAACGGTGCCGATTGTCGGCGGCGACGAGGACCTTTACAGAGGACATACACGCGACTGGGATATCCGCGCATCGTCGGTTCCTGCCCAAGAGAATCAAGAGTTTGTCTGGGTGAGACCTTTACTGCTGCTGTACATGCATATATTCTGCTCATACTTACTTACACACACGTATGTGGACCAAATTTTTCATTCAATTTAACTGGAATTTTTTTAACTACTGAAGAGCTACTAATTGAGAGATTATTTTCCTTAAGTCACAGCTTCGTCGTTATATAATATTAAAGTGATCGCCTAGGAAGTACTATCAAACGGTACACGTTGAAGTGGGTTTTGTGTGGTTTTAAAATTATTTAAACCTGACCACTCTAAAATTATTGAACCATTCTTTCAAACATTTTCAAACGCTGCGTTTCATTAGGGAAGTTTCCAATTTTTACGTGTATTGAACTGAATTTTACTGGGCTATACAGTTTCCTAGTGCTTTTCAGCAAAATATCTGGGAACACATTTTTACTAGGAAAATTTCCCATACTCGTCTGATGTAATTACCATTACAATATGAAAGAAAACGTGTGGGAAAGGTGAGTATGCAAATTTTATTTATGCTAAATTATTTTAATTTTCATGGCTGAGTAGAACAACCATCAAGATGAACCTTTTTATCCATGAAATTTGCACACAAAATTCAAAATATAGTTTTATAATTTTCGAGTTTCATTCCAGAAACCCTCAAACATTATATGAAGAAAATTTCTTAGCAAATGAAACTTTTCCAACCTAATAATTTCATTTCAACTGGAAGTGCATTGGAAATAAAATAAAAAATTAGAAAATATACCTAGTTTAATAAGACTTTATACAGATTCAAAATTTTCTTCTGTTACAACAAATAATAGTATTCAAGTACCTTGAATTATGGGTTCAATTGCAGTAGTTGTGATTGAACCTCGAAAGCGTCCAAGTATTATGAAATGCGCAATATCTATAAAGAAAATAAAAGAAAGACGGTGATTATAGCCAGTAATTAATTTTATTTTCACACATGATCAATCCACCCAGCTCAACCGATTATTGTCGGACAACGTCGACGGATCAGCAACAATTGATGACGAGTCTCGGGTCCCAAGGCTCGTTTCAAAGCGTGACAAGCAGTCAGCACTGGGGTTCACTAAGTGGTGGCATCGTGATGAAGCCAGTGCTGCGACGTGGGAGCACAGAGAGCGACAGTCGACACTCGGGCCCGGCAATGATGATGAGCTGCTGTGTCGAGGTGGCGGCGACGCCATCTTCTGTGGCGGCAGCAGTGGCAGCGCGATCATCACTGAGTCACCAGGCGTCGTTCGAAAGTCAAACAAGTGGCGAGGTGTTTGTGTTGCAGCCTGTTTTGGGATCCCCAGTGTCGGCCGTTGTGGTGGCGACTAGTGCAGGCGTCCCGACGACGGCGGCTGCGCGACGGGCGGCTGTCGCAACTCGTCGTGCCATGTCCAGCACTTCCGCCGTCCAAGGTGTGACATTATTCATTCATTTTGACGACGCTTTAACAAATAGCATACGAAATAATATTACTAAGAGAGTTTATATCTTTTTTCCTCATCCTTGGAGGCTTCTCTTCTTGTTTTCCTGCGGGATGGAAGAATGCAGGAGCTGTACAAGTCATGTCTTACCAATTTCCCGCAGCCCTGAATTGTGACAGAGCTTCAAACTGTCATTTACTAAAACCTCACAAGACAGTTTAAAACTCTGTCACAATTCTGGGCTGCGGGAAATTGGTAAGACATGACTTGTACGGCTCCTGCATTCTTCCATCCCGCAGGAAAACAAGAAGAGAAGCGTCCAAGGAGGAGGAAAATTATGTAACTCTGTCATAATTCAAAGGAAACTGAAGAACAACAACACTTAAAATACTCCTTTCTTTTTTTTCCAGTAATGTAGGAAGGACGAGGAAAATTTCTAAATTGAATGAAAACTATAAGAAAGATATACGCAAACTTTTAGAATTCAGAAAAAACATTCTTTACTACAACCAACAACGGTAGTTGAAATTATGTTGGTTACAAACCATCATAAAATCTGAATTGATTTTGAATGAAAAAATGTAATAGACGTTGTCATGCATCAAATTTATAACTAAAAAATAAATTTTCAATTTATTATTTGTACATGGCTGTGTGCATCTCATTCATTCCAGTGAGCCAAACAAATAGAGCCGAATGTTGGACCGCGCCAAATTGTGCCAGACCCAAGTCTACCAATTTACCAAAAGTTTCTGCCCCAAGCATTTGAACAAAAACGACGCAAAATGCTATTGCATCATTTCTGATGCATGGAGCAAAAACCACGATACATTAATGTCCTCTAACCCACGAATTTAAAAAGATGGTAGACCCAATGGTTTGGCGCAATTTGGCAGCCATAAAAATGGCGTCCAACACCCGGCACTATTTGTTTGGCTCACTGGTACCCACCCACCCAACCTTCTCTGAAAAGGAAAAAAAAACCAGAAGTTTAAAATCTCCAACAACAAATTTTGACACAAAGCAACTCCAAGAAAAATGCTATCAAAATCATAAGCGGTTCAACAATATTTGTACTATAGACTGCTGCTTTGCTAGTTCTTTAATTTGGTCGAAATATATTTAATTATTCAAATTCAGTTTAACCAAAATCCAGTTGTCCTATTAAAAATTTCTCAAAACCAAAAATATTGGCAATTAAGCAATCATGGAACTGCAAAACGAACCCTGTTTTCCGGAAGTAAATCTTCGATGTCCTCCAACGAATTGTTAATTTACACCAATTTTTATCCTTAATTAACTTTAAAGAAATCAAATAAAACCTGTGGTGTATTGCAGGAGTGTTCCCGCATCGGATGTCTTCGGCAGCTGCGTTTCGTCACTACAAGTGCTGGGACTCGAGCGATTCGCGGAGCAATTCCGAGGACGCCACTTTCCCGCCAGCGTCGCCCAAAATAGTCTGTCACGCACCGTCCATCGAGGTGCCTGTGACTGTCGAAGTCACACCGGGGTCGCCCAGTTCTCCGTCGCTGGATGAATCTTCTCCTCCCGTCGCGGCGCCTCTGCTGGAAAGTGGCGGCGATGTTTCCATAATCATCCGTGATTAAGCATTTGAAACTTGTTCAAAATTTAATTGCTGTTACGATGTTTCCCTGCACAACGAAAAAACAATGTTTTAATAACAAAACGTGTCACCAACAACGGCGTTTCATTGAAAAAAAAATTCTGATACATCCATGAAGCGTTTTGCTAGGAAAACACTTCGATTTTAGTCATAAAATGGGGTTTTAAAAGTGAATTTTGCTTTAGTGAGTTGACTGACGCAAGTCGTCTTCAGTATTGTATTTCTTTAAACTTAAAATTATTTAGTGGGTTGGGTCGAAATGAAAATAAGTCTTAATTGAGTAGAAAAAAATGAGGAATCCATTATCTCGTTCCACATACTTATGCCACGAGAAGAATGACTTTCATTAAACCGAAGGAAATTAACTTCAGAGTCCATCGCAAAATCATCTTCCTACAAGAAACGCGTTGAAATTTTCCAAAATTGGAAGATAGTAAGGCTTCCCGACGCATTTAAAAAATGCATAAAATCACGCTGCAATCGTTTTCCTTCAAGATTTCTGCTCAAAATCCTGGCCAGATTTCTCAGTATTTTTCACTAGAATTTTTTCGATGTTTTCTGGGATAAAGAACAGTTGCATCTAAATGGTACTGTACTTAATTTTAAATGCATTTAGATAGTACATTTTGAACAGCAAAAAAACTCATTTCATCCTCTGGTCAGCTAAAATGCCCACAGTACTTCAGAAAAACCATTCCAATGTTTGTAATTACTGGGCGTAATTTAACAATAATTAGGGTTATCACTAATATGCACCCATTGGCAAGTCTTTGAGTAAAAACATGAGTGATCGACATTGAAGAAAATTTTTCTTTCTGCGAGAAAATTTTTATTTCTGCGCGTGACCAATGTCGAGAGTAAAAATGTATCGTCGTCTAGAAAATTCCAGCGCTGTGAAAAATCGTCCACGCTTTATAGAATCAGCGCCCAAAGACGTTTTTCTTGAATTTCGAATGCAAAAAGATTTGTGTGTTCTTGACCAAAAGCAGGAGGATTCCAAATGCGAAGAAACATTCGGGATCTTGAGTGTTGAACAGGTCCCTTCTTAGCTTTGAGAATTATTTTTGTCTGCGGGTCTGAATTGTACCAACGAAGGTCCTGTTGAATGTGATAAATAAATGTTTAGTTCTTTCGAGAGATGCTTTCGTTTTTTTAAATTACAGAAGAAAAGGGAATTTCACTTTTACTGTAAGTTGGGGATGTCTCAACTCACCACTCACCAGACGCATGCCTTTAAATAAAAAATCTTTAGGAGTTCATTGACTTATTCGATCACTTCGATTCTAAAGTGAGTTTTTAATTATCAAATTCAACTGCGGTAGTTTCATAGAAAAGCTCCATATACCATTAGTAAATGAGCATTTTGCTTGGCAAAAGTTAGTTTGGGGGATGTTGAAACTTCTTGTTCACGAATCAATTCCATTAATATATTAAACGAACAGCATGAATGCATCATCAAAGGAGAAGGTACTCGGACACATCTGATCAAAAGCTCTAGATGAAGTACAGGTGACATCCATTGAAACTTGCACTCTGTGAAAATTAGCGTCATGTAGATTAATTTTCATCATTCATGTACAGTGAAGTCTCTGATAAACTAATACCAATAGAACAAATTTTTCAGTAAAACAATTTTTTGCCTCAAGTCCTGGCAGAAAGTCCATATAGATTATCTGTTAGAAAAAAATTATCACAGTATAACAAACTTTCCAATTCCAGTATGATAACCTTTTTTGAGGAAATATCCAGCAATAAATTCTCCAGGTACGTAGGAATTTCCTGAATAAGAAGGCGCAGACTGAAATTTGAAATCCCAAATGTGACTGACTGGTTCTTAATCTTGGCATGAATAAAAGCTGTGATCAGTGACAAACATGTTTCCAAGTGGTACGTTCCACACATCATCCTTCCAGAATGAATAAATTGGGTCAACTGATGAAATCCTTTATCGAAGTCAATTTTTCTAAAGATAACTCAGTATTTCTAACAATGAATAAAATCAGAGAATGCCAGAAAAGCACGATGGAATCGATCAGTTAGGTGCGATGTGGAAACATTTTCCAGTCATTGATTTTGAAACTCTCATAAAAAAAATTATTCAGTAGGACGAAATTTTTCCGAAGTCCCCAGAAGTTTCTTGCGATAAGATGTTTCTGTGAACTGAGTGCATGGAAAAGTAAATGCCAAAAATGCTCACCTTGTGTTAGCAGAGCCGAACTCCCATAGCCCCACTCAGAAAGGATGATGAAGATATCTTGCGCAGAATAATCCAGCACTTCAAGACGACACTTGGTCCAGAATCAGCTCGACTTCCAAAGAACATCCGTTCAAGGAGTTGAGGAAAAAGTCGCTGGGAAGTGCCAAGGAATTGCCCTTATTAGCAACATCATTCTTCCTCGCCACCCAAGCTTGCACAACACCCGCGTAGGACAGAGTTGACATTCCATCAGACGCAAAGGTTAAGCGGTAATGCGCTGAAGCTTCCACCGTTTTGGCACGAAATGCTCGCATTGTGTACAACACGCTGTCATGCTCAGGCCTTGTGCAAACGGCGAGAACAAATATTTCTCCTTCGTCGGGAAATTGAGGCGCGGCCGGGGGAGAGGCAGCAGCAGAAGCCACAGCGTGGCGGCGAAGACGTGAGGATGAGCGACCTCTGTGTTGCAAGACAGTGAACTCTTCGAAAGGTTCTTTCAGCTTCACCGCGCGGCAGAGCTCCTCCGTGCTCGCCGGAATCTGCCAGTCACGTCACATACGAATAATAAGAAAAAAAGAGCTTAAACTCATTGATATTCTCATCAAAAGTCCTGTCTTCAAATCAACGTCTCAAATCTTCATCATCCTGATTAGTACCTGAACTGGGAAGCATTGCGACTTGACAAGCGGATGCTCCGAAGCCAAATGCTGTGCCAGAGTCTTCCAACGTCCACGTAGCTTTGCAGGACAAAAGGGACAACCGAGTAACTGAAATGAGCAAGTCTCCTCATGGTCGACTTTCGTCTCCAGACGTGAATAGGCGGCGCAACCCTCGCACTGAAATACACACGGAAATGGCACTATTTCAGCCAATCGTTCCAGTGCCAAATTCCGTTCCGTGCTGAATGGCCGGCCACAGTCGCCACATGCAGAGAAGCAACTGGATCCACTGGAAGAAAAAGGTAAGGTGCGAATCAATCTTGTCTTGTAAATAAGTAAAAAATAAAAACCGCTAGATTTGACGTTCGAGCTCAGATAAGTAAAGCCGCGACATCTTACTGAACACATGGGTGTATCAACTCGGGATTCAAGTAAATATTTAACTGAGCGTCGCTGCAACCATAACACAATGGGTTTACTTGCAAAAACAATATCTTATTTCCCTCGTAAAGATCTTCACATTTAGTAAGTAAACTCTCACATACTTTACTGTCCTCAGTCAAAAAACCCGATTCAATGCAGAGTTCGATGATTCCTTTACAAATGAATTAAATGTGTGGTTCCTGATACAGTATCTGGTATCTGCATGATGATCCTCTAATTGCATTTCTACGACAATAGGATTTCTAGAATTGAGGCGTTTAATAAATCGTTCATATTGTTTTTATATGAGAGGAATGGCGACACCGTCTGTTTATAATTTTAAAACGACACACACATCAGATAGAGCTGCAAAGGCTCAGATATACGCTAAAATTGAACTTAACTCTCATTTGACTCAATATTGGGAAATTAGCTCACCTCTTTTTGACCTGAGAAAAGCAAGTTGCACAAATCGGATGTCCACGTTCACACTGCGAAATAGGTGGCGTAACTAGACGCCGACAAGAAGAACACTTGAAGGCTTCCAGAATTTTCGTGACCTCAATGGGCCTCGATCTGGAATTCTCAATAATACAACAGCCATTGACGCTGTCAGAGCAAGAAATTGATTTCGAAGATGATTTGTAAAAACTGGCACGATGAGAGCACATAGTTTCTGAAAAAAGGACGAAGACGTCGAGAAAGAATACCGCACCGACGTTGAGACGATCCCACCTCCACTTGAAAAAAAATCTCATAAAATTCATCCGAACCTAGTGAAAGTGTCCCAAGAATTCGGAAAGGGGAATATTCATTGAGATATTCTCTTCGTACCCAATTTCTCTGAATATTAGATTCGTCTGACGCTCATCAGTTGACCACCAAACACCGAAGTAGAGTCGAATAAGGCACTCAAAAATATCGGACGTCAGGAAGAAAGCAGTAAACACTTGACAAATTGATCCAACATCTCAAGATGCACTTTTTTATTTCCTCTCGAAAAAAAAACCACATTCACACGGCTAAATTCCCTTTCTTTCTGCAACTTCTTCAAGTCTCACACATGCGTCACCACAGCGCCGCCATTTTTCTGTGACCAGGCAAAAGGTCACATGAAATACAAACGAAAAATCTTTTCGACGTCGAATTTTGTCGCGTTTGTTTATCGGTCATCTCTCAGAACTTCGGACATTTTCTCAGGACCGACGACAACAACAAAATGAAAGAAACTCTCTTTCTTTTCTTCCTCCCCGCACACAAAGTTTGTTCTCCCTTAAAACAAGTTCTGTGGACAATTACTGGAGGGAAAAAAAAATCAAACGAAAAAATCACAGATACGAACTTGGCCTCGCAACTCGCCTGCGCCGACAACGGCCCAGAAAAAAAATATTTGTTTTCACTCCTTTCCGTGGATTTCTGACACAAAAACCTGCTTTTGAACAATTGATAATTCAGAACATTTCGTCATGAATCCTTCGGCTTCGAGATATGAGCCAGACAGAAAGGGAGAAAGTCGGCTTTAAAACCGGTTCAAGAACCGGAAAACCTGCCATTAAAATAGTTATTGCTCGAATAATCTTTCCCGCACATCAGTTCCTAGTCCTACAGTCGAACATGGCCATAAATGCTTAACTTCTTCATTCTGCTTGAACAGGAATTAATTTTACTCCAAGGATTTGAAACAGCGGATTTAAAATTCATGAACGGCACGGAACAATAATTTAATCGAATTCTGAGAGAATAACGAATCAGAAAAACTTGAATTCGGAATGAATTTACGGATTGCACGAAACGTCCGGAGTTGAATGTTTCCGATTCACGGATAAGCAGTTCACTCGCGAAATCATTGATGCTACTGTAATTTTTGAAATTGATTCATCAGTAAGAAATTGTTCATGAAGTGTTGACAGAATTTCATCAACAGATTTATTATGTGGTGTCGACTCTAGAGATGAACCATCATGAATTATATAACCTTTTCATCCCCAACAACTCAATTAATGGAAATAAAGAATGTTTCAAAAAAATTGCATTATTGAAGTTCGAAGAATCATCACTCGAAGAACCATCAGAAATTATTGATAAATTTGTCTAAGAATTGCATCGTCACTCGGAAAAGGGATTAACATTACACATTATTTTTCAAATGAATAATTCATCAACAAGACGTTCCTGAAAGATGTTTCCAAGAATACATTGGTACCCCGGATAATGGCCATATTAAAAAAAATCTTTCTTCACAGAATGTACCCCGACTATAACCACTTCTTGCTGCAGTAGATAATGAACCCTGCTTTGAAAATTGAGAAGAAAAAGCTCTGGTAGAAATTTAATTTTTTTACCTCTTTTTCAAATGGACAAATCTGATCATTACTCAACACGTTGAGCACTATTTCCAACATTTTAAGATTGTTCACTGAGCTTAATTTTATTTTCGCTGATGAACTAAACATTTATTACTTTATTTCAAGTATTGATAAAGGATATTTCCAAGGGATATCATCAGGAATTCAGGACATGAAAACGGTTACATAAAGATCCGAACATTTTCAGATATTGACTTCAAAAAGGGAGCAGTAAAGACCATTAACCGACTCAATTCTTACATTATTTCATGCGGCAATTCATAAACAAATCCCCCGTTTTCCATCAAATCGGACGAAATTAATTACTGTATTCCTGAAACAATTACCGTCGCGAACCAAGTTCTGATCACGAATTTCCAGCAGTGCTAGCAGTAGCAGATCTGGTGAAAGAAAAAATCTTCTCACTCGGAATCCTCGCTTTCCCTCTCTTTTTCGCTCCCCCCCTTCTCTCTCTCTCTCTTTATTTTTTTTTTAATCAAAAAATTGAAAAATAGAGGGAAATCCAAGATTCTCCAGGAGGAAAAAAAAAAACAGAGGGAAAGACAGGAAATCCTCCACTTGCATGTTCAGCACGCGAGCATTATTGAGAGGATATATGGAAACAATCGAAATGAAATGAAATGAAAAAAAATGGGAGAAAACGGATGAGCAGGGAAAATCGGGATCCGTCTTCCGTCAAATCTTTTCTCCAGTGGATCTCGCGTCGTCGTGCAGGTCGTAATACTCGTCGCAGGGGAAGTTCTCCAGGTCCACGTAGCCCGTGTGAGACTCCAAGAGGTTGGCCAACTCGTCGCACAACTCGGTGAATTCGGGCCTCTTGGTGGGATCGTGGAGCCAGCACCGGGTGATGATTCTGTACAGCTCGGACTTGCAGTGCTTGGGTCGCTCGAGTCGGTAGCCCTCGCGGACTCGTCGCATCACCTCGCGGGCAGACATCCCGGGATACGGCGTGGAGCCTGAAATGCAGTTTTTTTTTTTTTTTTTTTAAATCGAGTCACTGCTGTGATTCTTTTTTTTTTTTTGCTGTTAGAGGCACATTAGGGCCCAAAATATCACTACAGTCAAACCTCTCCAAGTCAAATTTCAAAGGGAACTGAAAAAAATTCGACTTTGAGAGGTTTTGACTTTTATACGTTGGTAGTACAATAAAAGGCCCCATTTTCTGGGAAACTTGAAAAAATGTAAATGGTAATATTCTGGGGCTTAAATGACCTCTTAAATGAGTTGAAAGGCTGCTGAACTTGAAGGCAGGGGTTCATTTGCCCAATCAAGTCTTTCACTTACTTTAAAACACATACATTTATGGGTTTTTTCTTACTTTTTTTTTTAAAGAAAATAATGGTCAACGGGCCACAGAAAATTCGACTTATGGAGGTTTGAGGGGAAACGCTTTTGACTTAGGGAGGTTTTTACTCTATTGGTTCTAAGGGGATTCAAATGGGACCTGAAAAAAAATTCAACTTAGGGGGATATTCAACTTAGGGAGGTTCGAGTTATTGAGGTGCACCTGTGTTTAAAAGTTCCTGCAATTCTTCCATGTTTCCCACAACAAACATTGGGCGTTTCTCCAACTCAAAACCTCTTAAAGTCAAATTATTTTGCTGGCCCCTTGTAATTCGACTTGGGGAGGTTTCAAGTTAGGGAGGTTGCGACATTTGATTTAGAGAAACACAGCATTTTTCCCGCGAAATAAATTTTAAAAATGCAGGAAATTGTAAATGGTGATATTACAGGCCTTGATCAATTTTAAACTGGAATTCTCGCATTACGAATCACTCGAATGAAAAATCACTTTCCGGAATTTCGAGATATAAATAATTAATTCGACGGATTTGTTTCTCCGGGAAAAAATCCTTCCTTCAAAAACGCAGCAATTTCCCCAATTTTCGCATTTAACCTTCGGATTTTTTTTTCAAAACAAAAAAGTTAAAGAAAGATAACGATTTTTGTAACCTCAAAAATCTATGAGTTTAATACACAAAAAAAAAAACCTCGAGCAAATGTCTGGAAGAGCTTTCGAAGTTTTCTGTGATAGGTCTGTATAGAGTCCTTGAATTCGTAGACATTTTCCCTTTGGCTTTTAAAGTATTTTCGATTTCGGTTTTAAAGCTCACGTCTCAAGTGAAATAGGAAAAGGTTGATTGAAAACAGGAAATTCTCCAAGTTTTGAAAATGAGCCGCTACGGTGAATATTTCAAAATGAAGAAACCTTGAACAATTTCACGACTACTGACTAAATGTAAAATGCAGGGTCCTTGAAATTTATTCAAGTTTCCCAGCAATTCCTCAGACCAGGTGTAACCGACATTCGAAACCCTTCGGACCTCATAAGAATTCGACCAGACTCGATCCAAACAGAAAAAAATTCGAATACTGTATATATTTTTTCACGCCATCTTTTTTTTCGAATCAAAAATATTTGCATAGAAAAATAAGTCAACCAAGGCCAGCGTAAAAATATATGCATACCGTGGGTATAAATGTTTGGTACAGAGGGTTTCAAAGTCATGATAACGTACCAACTCACTCATTAAAAGCTTTATACATTTTAATGTATACGGGGCAAGGCCGAAAAATGTGTAAAAAAAAAGGAATGAGCTTATTTCAATTTCATCGCAAAATTATTAAGCCGAAGTCGGCAGAAAATCGCTGAAGGCCACGCGTAACTGTAGTTTTTTGCACACATTCTCATATCTTAAACTTGAAATAATTTACAACCATTTAAAAAATCCCTTCATAAAAAAAACACTTCGTTGTATAAACCCGGATATTGGATACCAATCATGATGATTTTCCCGAAAAATTGATTCGATTTTTTTTTATTCTGGCCGTGAAAATTTTAGAGATAACGGACTGCAAAAAACTGTTTTTTTTACACATTCAAAAACAAATCAATTTTGCTGAGGGAAGCTTGGCTGGCTGCCGAAATAATTTGTCAGCGAAGTGCATTTACGCAGCTGCACTGTGATTGAAGAATGCCCTATAGTCTATACAGTACACTCCTAAAAAAACGTTTGTTTCGACATTCAATAAATCATTTTTACTTTCGTATATTTTTCTCTCAGAGCGCATCCATACGTAGAAGAACTGAGAGCAATGATCTGATCGGACTTTCTCTGATCCACAGAACGAGGATCGACAGAAAATGCGAATTAAAAGGGGTAACATTGCGTACGAATTTCCCCGACTGGAAATTATTCGTCGATTTCGCATGAAGTAAATGGATTTTTAAAAGTGAAATTCACCTAAAGTGACGATTTCCCAGAGAACGACACCGAAGCTCCAGACGTCGGACTTCGTGGTGAAGATCGACACGTACAACGACTCTGGCGCCATCCAACGAATCGGCAACGCTCCCTATACATGAACCAAAATCATGCAAAAAAAGAAAAACGTTTAAAAATTAGCGGGGAAAAAACCAGAACCTGCTGGGACATGCACGCAAATTTTCTCCAGCATCAACGGCGAAAAATCGCCGCAAGAAAAAAAAAGACTCCGAAACCGCGAAAATAATTCTCAATCCATCAGCTTCTGCTGCTCGGAAAAAAGCGAAAAGTGGAACGCCTTTCCTCTCGTCATCGCATCACTGCTTTTGTGGAACGCATGGACTCAGACCACACACAAATTTCCAAAACAAAAACAAAAAAAGCATGGGGAAATACAGAGAAAAGTCAGATACACTCTCGACCACACACGAAATTTTGACAGGAATAATATTTCATACGTGAGTAAGAAGACATTGCTCACCCGAGTTTTCTGCTCGTAAAATTCCGAGTCGCCCGAGCTCACGTGTCGAGAGAGCCCGAAATCGGCGATTTTGCACACCTTGTTCCGGTCTACCAACACATTTCTGGCTGCCAAATCCCGGTGGATTATCTGCTCAAGAAAAAAGGAAAAATCGAAAACATTTCCAAGAGCAACCAGGACAAAACGCGAGCAAACTTCGATACACAGCAAACTAAACGCGATGGAAAGCGGATTTTTTAATTTGATCCTCACATTTTTGAAATGGCAGCGGAAGACTGGGGGAAATCGCTTCTCATTTCAAAAAGAAATCGGCAAAAAGAAACCAATTCTGTGGGAATTGATTAATTTTATCTTTTCAAAATTTAAATTTTCGCCTCTCGAAACTTTCCTTCGCATCAAATAATACCCAATTCATTCAAGTTTTTCGGACGCCTCACACCATGAAAAATTTCAAGATTAATTCTGATGCAAAAATACTTCATCAAGGTGAGATGGCTCATCTCATTCAAGCTTTCCCTCATCGGTTTTCTTCTTTAATTTGAGAGAGTACAGACTACTTTTTTTTTTCTGTCGTGGGCATTTCAAGAGATTTCAGCAATTTTATTCGCGTGTCCTTGAACTAGGTTTCGAAAGAGTGAATTTTAGACATCGTTGGCAATTTTACGGTTCTATGCAGTACGCACGCCAGCTTGTTATATTTATTGAGTTGCACATAGTTCTTAAGACTTGATCCATAACAAAAAGCCATTTCATAACCACTGCATTCATTCAATTGAAGCTGAAACCCTCCCTTACATAAAGGTGGTGCTAAAATGCAGTAGCTACACTGTAAATATTCAAGAACAGGTCGCATTTATGCGGTCTAAGCTCGGGATAACACAATATTAGCGCCAATTCGGATTTGAAAGATCTACGGACGATTCTCGAATTTTGCAACAGAAAGAAAAATCAGACATTCTTCAGGTGGCAATCAGCTGACTCTTCTTGCTGAAAATTTCATTGCACCAAATGCGACTTCTGTTTCTGTCCATGCATCGGAAATATTTTTAATACTCTTTCAAATTTTTTGAGTTTCCGGCGGTTTTCGAAGTTCTCGTTTTCCTTCTTGAGAAAAAAAAGCAGGTGGACTCTCTCCACAACGACTTTTTGCGGAGTCTCATCGGGTTCTCTCCCTATATTGTAGGGATTCTTTACAACGATATCCTCCGTAAAACGAATTTTTTCAAATTTTTGAGTTTCGAAGTTCTCGCTTTCCTTCTTGAAAAAAAAGCAGGTGGACTCTCTCTACAACGAATTTTTGCTGAGTCTCATCGGGTTCTCTCCCTATGTTCGAAGGATTCTTTACAATGAAATCCTCCGTAAAACGAATTTTTTCTGGTCCCTCGAATTTCGTCGTCGAGAGAGTCCCACTGCATCTGCCAAATTTGAGGGTGCGGCCTGCAGTCGCGTTAATATATACGGCAATAGCCAGAGATACATTAAAAAATAATAATAAAAAAACGGAATGAGTTGGAATCTTTACCAGCCAATAAATGACGGAAGAGAGAAAGTTTAAAGAAAGAAAAGAAAACGATTTACGAGCACTTACACCCTTGGACGAAAGGTACTCCATTCCACGGGAGATTTGGTAGGCGAACCGGGTCAAGTCCCGGGAAGACAAAACCTCGCCTCGGTCTTCAGCCGGGATTTGAATGTCGGACCAGCTCCCGGATTCCGAGTGGATTAGCTGATCCGACCAACCACGAGGAACACCCGGCCCGAATCCCTGGTGCCCATCTGGGATCGACGACCAAGTGTCCTTCCCCAAGTTGTAGTACGACTGCTTTTTCCGCGCGTCGCGGAGATACGTCAACAGCTTCCCGTGAACCACGTACTCCATGATCAAATAATATGGCTCTGCAATCACGAGGGAAAAAAAAATCAGCACGGATAAAATTTGCTTGCCAAAAGCTTTGAAAATTAAAATAAAATATCTCGTAAACTTCATGGTTCATCATTAAATAAGAAAACGACATTAAAATATAGTACGTTACTCTTTACTGTTATGCGCGAGAAGCCTCGATTTATTGCACCAAAATTTGTGCTGAATGTTTTTTTCCGCATAAAATACAGTATTTCGAAGACTTAAAATTTTGATACGAACTTTAAGCCAACACTCGCAATTGTATTTAAAATTACAATACCTGACTCAAATGAGGTTAAATCAAGAAGTCAGGCCAGCTAGTCTAAATCAGGTCATTATTTGATCGCATCGCCGATTTTAGCGGAAAATGTCTGACGAGAACATAAATGTGGCTGTGTATTCACTAAAAATGACATGGCAATTTGTGAGATGAGGAATTTGAATCTGGGAAGAAAAAATTCTATATCTGAGGTTTCAAGTGCCTCAAAAATGTTTTCGAATAATTTTTTTTTTGTTGGTAAAGACAGCAAGGTCTTGAACATAATTTTTGAAACTGTGGGCAAACAAACGGACAAAGTTAATGAGGCTGATGAAGTTGAGCATAACTCCAAAATTTTCATTGACATCCTTTCTGAGGTTCACACGGGAACCTTGTATCGAACTTGAGTTATCAATATCGTGAGAAATGACAAGAAATTCTTCAGAATCTCTGAAAAGCTCCCTAAAGATAATACGACAACCGTTTGTCGCTCGAGAGAAAAATGTCAACAATGTAATACAAGGTTATACAAGGAAACTCGACACCGGAAACGTTGACATCGACCTTCGTGTCAGCATCGACGGACTTCTACTTAATTCATTTCTCGACGCTGGCGGAATAATCACGACCGTCGAAAAGGTCGGAATGTGGGCATTCATGAGTTTCGCGTGAAGAATTCGATTCCTTTTCGGATTTATCCATACACAGGGATAATTAATTCAGTCTTGTGGCCATAAACACCAAGTCCACCGCATTGCTCATATATTTGACTTTTATGTTCAAGGATGCCCTCCGACGGCTGAGAGTATTTAAGAATCATTAATGAACATCACGGTCGGCGGAGAAGCGGATTCAAGATGATTAAATTTTGCTTCAAATTCTATCATTTAAAATATTCCGAACGTCGAATCTTTTTTTCGAAATTCAAATAAATTGACCTTGCCTCGATTTAATTTGATGCAACGGCTGGAATTTCCTGCCAAAACCATACATTTATATTCAGGTCACGTATCTTTTATTCAGTCTTAATACAGTATAAAATTTTTCCATGGAACAGAATCTATGAAACATGAATTGAAAAATAGCACAAAAAGGAGATTCGCAAGCGATTTTTGTGAAATAATTTTGGACCTTGGGCAAGAACTGAAAACACATTTGCATTTTCTTTCCCGCCTTTATCCTTTATTGCTGCAAATTTTGGAACACCTTTTCCAGAAAACCACAAAAATAAATGCAAATTATTTTCATAATGCTCTCCACAAGGGATTAGGTTTTCTCGTAAGTAGAACGGCTATGAGTACTGCTAATGATTTGGATAAAGAATAATTTCCATTGATTCATTCAGCCAAATTAGGTCAAATTTCCAAACTCAAAAACTCTTCAGGTCGAATTTTTCTCTTTCGAGTCTCTTCAAATCCGACTTACAGAGGTTCAACTGTATTTTCCTTATTCTGAAAATCAGACACAGCGTTTTGATGCATGCAAATGAAGCTCATGTAAGACTTGCATGTCAACTTTTGCACTCAAAAGCTTCAGTACGTGTCTTATACAAAAAATAGGATTGGAAAATTTTCATTCGGTGGTACACAAGCAAATGCGGTTATAACCACTGCTGGTACAGGCACCACTGCTCGAAAATCGCTGGATTCAACGAGTGCTTTTACCAGTTATTTTTAAAATTGATCCCCGCTAACCTTTAATCTCAAAACGTTAAATACCTCCCAATGTCTACATATGTAATTGAGCCTTTTGTAGCATGGGCTTATATGCAATCGGTTGGCGGGGAATTTGCCTACTTTTATTTGATAATACAGTATGTACAGAGAAACCCCCACATGAGGACACTGATTCGACACAGGAAAATTTTCTGATAAAATTGCAAATAAGTTTCAGGCCAAATTACAAGAAACAGATATTTCAAACCCTAAAATTGATGTAAGAAAAGTACTTGGGAATTTCTCCCACCAATTTATCATCCATTTAGCTAATTAAAAGAAATTACCTCCAGCATACAGGGACTTCCTTCTCTCTTTTTCACTTGAATGTTATATAAACAGAGATTGTCAACATTTCTATGCATTACAGAGGTATCAGTATTCAAATCCTCAAATGTACATATTGCGTTGAAATATATTGATTGAATCAGTTTAAATTGGGAGACAATTTTATTTTCATGGAATTATGGTGAGTATTTCGTCAATGAAACACCAATTAAAAATTATATAACGTAAGTCTAAGGGAAAATGAGACTCAACTTGGGGACATTTTGACTTGGGGTGACTTGGGGCCACTCTTGATGCACCAATTACATCCACACATGATGCACCAATTACATATACAGTATATATATATATATATATATATATATATATAATATCTTACCATATTGGGAACAGCAGCCGATGAGGGCGACGATGTTGGGGTGCGGACTCAGCTGCTCCATGAGCTTGAGTTCCCGCAACAAGTCACGCTTCTCGCGCTCCGTTGCGCAGCCGGGCTTAACGGTTTTCACAGCCACCGTGCAGATCTCCTCGAAGCCGCAAATCCCGTCGGCTTCGGCCTTCCACACCTACCATCAAAGGGCACGGATCAAGAACGATTAAAATTCAGCAATCAACCAGACTGCTAATTCATTGAAAAGCTCTTCACTTATTTTTTTTAGTGACGATTCGACATATAAAAAAAAACGGGATTGTTCATTCCTTTCGATGACGCAACGGTTTTCAATGATGTATTCCGGTGGATCATCCATCAGTGTTTCAATTGTAATTATGAATCATTTTTTGGACGCAGTACTCGAAAGTCGTGATGAATTACAATTACAAAAGAGTAATAAAAAATTACACCTGCTTTCGTTGGAGAAACCTCAAAGAATTCCAGAAAAAAAACGAAAAATCCGCGAACCTCCAATCGTTTATAATATAAGAAATTTTTCTTCTGATTTTTTTATTACCTGGCATAGTCAAAAGATAAAATATATCAACATCGTTAATAATAGACCATTCATTTTGTCAACTGACTCAAACATATTCTCTACCGAGCGCAATTTTTTTTACAGCTGATCAACCCAGAAATTGAAGCATTCCAAGGATGCTGATTTGGTCACAATTTATATTTTAAATTGCCATTTTTGAAGAAGTAAAAGCAATTTAAGTTCATGGATGATTCAAGGGCGTCAGAGTACAAGGTTTTTATCAATTTCAAAGAGTTGGTATCTGCAAAAGACCTGCTGCAAACTGAAATATGCTTGAAAAGAAATGGCATTGAATGTTTCACTGAGGTTAGATTCTTCTCGTAATCATCGATGCTGGAAAATTCGACTCGGTACATAAAATGAAAAAAAAATGGAAGAAAATAAATTATTCAAATTACTCCTTGAAATAATGAGATAATCTAAACTTAATTCTGCAGCACGGCGTAAAAATTAATAAATCAAACTTTACGCGGAAATCAGGAACCGCTCGTTAGAAGGGCTTTAAAAACGATGGCGTTTCATGCTTCAAAATGCAGTTTAAAATCAGGTGATTATCTCAGCTTCTATACTCGAAACACTGCGATGAAAAAAAATAAAATAAAAAATCTGAATTCACGCGGAAATCAGACACAGCTCATAAAGGGGGTTGCTCAATTGATCATTCTTCATGATTTTAACGGGCGTTATTCTTCCAAAATATTCCAGGTAGATTTTCTCTGGTAATCCAGACCGCAATCTTAATCCCTGAAGCACGATTATTCGTAACCCTCGGACGGATTACCAACCCGGAAAAGGGAAGCAAGCCTAAGGCCATCAATTTCAACAGACCCCCTCCAGGCTAGAACTGATGAAAAAAAAAAAAAACACGAATTGCCCACACGAAGACCTATAAATGTATGTTTTGCTTCAGGGGACGAGTCGGTAGCTCGCTTGCTAAGAGCCTAGTTATCTTTTTGCAAACGGGAAAATCGCCTGGAATTGTGAACCTTTCCACGTGCTGCGCTGACACAAAGCACGATAACTTTAAATTCAAGAAGAATAAATTTAACCCCTGGAAACTGAGTTGGGCAACCGCCGAAACTACCCCTAATTATTGGCCTCTAAATCTCTCCAGCTCTCGCAGCGATGTTTCAGTTTAATATTAATTTAATATGATTTTTAGTTTGGAAGCACTACAGTTGAGGTGCAAAATTTAAATGGACGGACGGTGAAACTACCCTTTGATGACTGGCCGATTTTTCACTAACGGCTACTGGATATCTTGAGAGGGTCACTTATTGACGACAATAAAATTTACAATGAATGCAAATTATAAAATTTTAATATTGATAGTTGACGGGAATGATCAGCTCAATCGCAGAAAACCGTCGATTTTGCAGTCGCGTCGCGTAGCTCCAAAATTAAATAAACTTCTGAAATTTGGATTTAAAAGAAAAGTCGGGTTCTTGAATAAACAACACGCGTCTTCATGAGGGTCTGAAAGATACTCTCGATTGATTCTGCGAGTACATACAGTAATTTTCGAAGAAAAAGGATTGATTTGCCGCAAGATTTTTGACGACATTCTGATTGAGATTTAATCTTCAGAAGTTACCGAGATCAGCGGGTATTGGCTTATTTTTTTTAGCACTGTTAACAGCCAAAGGTAGTAAATCCCCGGGGAAGTCATTTCTTTGTACAGTATTGTGATTGCAATTGCGTGGAAAAGTTTCGATTATTAAGGAGTATTATAAAAGGTTGAAATCCAAATAAGCAATCGAGTAATCCAAGCAACGCTCCGCCAGGATTGATTAAATAAATTTGTTGCCAGAGCCAGACTCTGGGGTGCAAAAAAAACAATATACATTTGCATCGTGGGAATGTTCCCAGTGCTCGAAATCTTTGGCGAGTCACTCCAAGATAATTCACAATCCTCGTAAAATACGTGGAAGGGGTTCTTATAAAGAAACATTGAAAGAAAAACGAGTGAGCCAATTTTAATTTCATTCTAAGCATATTAATATTGTGAAATATTTCTGCAGGAATCCTCATGAGCAATTTTGGACCACTCAGTGTTGAAACAAAATCCAACTAAGACTGCCGGACATCTACCTACAAAGAAGTCCTTTGTCATAGCTATAGACCAGTAATGAAAAAGTACTGTTGTAGTCCTCTCCAGTTCCGTCTTCGATTTTTTATTTATTTTGCCCATTGGCTACCTTGTGCAAAATTAATTGTTCAGCGTCAGAGAACAACGGCATGCTCGTTCATATTTAGGACAGCAAGGAGGTCGGGAGCACGGAAATTTACACTTATACTTCCAAATATTAGTGAACCCCCGACTTAACTTTTCTTGGTAACGTAGTGTGCACGATGTTTAAGAGTTGATTTACCGTTTTCTTTTACGAACGTACCAAAGGCGTGGAAAAAATAATGAAATTTTTCCTGTCTCAAATGGTTCAGTTACGAATTTTATGCCTCGCATTGTCCATTTACTCTTTTTATTTTGAATCACACGGGCAGTTTCGAAGCTAATGTCCATGGTGGTTGAAATAAATACCTTTCTCGAACCTTTTCGGCTTATATTTTATGCCTATTACGTAGTCTTTTTTCTGGTGGCTCAGTTTTTAGCTCCACATCTTTTTGCAGTATGTTTATTTCCAACATATTTATTTCCAACAAGTCCTACTACTCGATATAAACTTTCGATCGACAATTATTTCCCTGACTGGGTTCAACCGCAGCAACAGAGCTTCTGTAAAGTACAGGTTGACAAAGTCGGACTTTATTATGGGATCTTCTGAAAAACCTGTGACTTTCGGAACACCCTGTGCAATGGCAAAGTAAATTTCAGGGTACCTGTACAGTACATGTAAAATTGATCAAAAAATGCAGTGGGTATTCATACCGGGTTACCCGGGTTGATAAATGTTTTGTACATCAGATGCAGTATCTCGTGAAAAAGAGCATGCTTAGGATTTTTAAGATTTGTATATATTTATAAATAAATACCAACTTAAAAAAAGTGATTGCTCTATCTTTCCTTAGAAACTCAATTCAAGGGTTCCGTGGAAAATGTACGCTCAACGTAATTTCGAATGGGAATCGATTTTTTTGTTATTCTTATTCTTATCAGTTTTGTTAAACATTATTTTCTTTGTTTCTGTCGGTGTGACTCTTTACGAGGTTTAGTACTTGTATTTATGCCTCCAGACCACATCGGAACTTAGTTTCTTCTTTCTGGGGATCTAGAAATGGTTAAACGTCTTCGAATGATTTAGACGTACAGTTTTACGGTACTTCAGTTTAATATTTGGTTATTGCGTATGGTTTGCGGTGAATGTCCAAGAAGACGCACTTAAAAATCTCATTTGATGTAGTCATAAAGCTGCTCTCCCTTTCTGAAACAGAACAGTACCACAAAACTACTTGAAGTCGACTCGTCGAAAACGATTTTAACCGAAATCAGGAACATCCTAAAAGCTTTTTCCATCCTATATAGAATGACCAATTCCATACTGTGGGTCCCCACACGAATGTACCGTAGAAAGAAAAAATTCGCATTTGAAAAATTTTCAGAGATGAAAATTGATTTTGAAAACTAACTCCTTACATAAAATAAATCTTTTAGGCAAAATGATGCTACAATTTTATCAAATTTTGAGTTTAACTTTCAAAACTTTTTTCAAATAAGGGGATGAAAAAATTATGGTTTCTTTTTTCGTTCTCTTGTCTTTAAATACTTCACACAGCATTCAGAAATTTAAGAGCAAGGAGTTGTCAGGATTACAGTAATAATTCACTTCAATTTCCTACTACTGTAATCAATTCCATATTTATAATTTCGTGCTGAAAAATGCACACATTTCATGGTTCATAATTATATTTTGAGAAGGAATTCATTAATTTACAATGTAATCTTGCGGGGAAAACGCGTTCCGCATTTCGAAATTTTAGCATAACGAGGCGCAAAATCCTTGCCTAATCAAAGCAATCTGCTGGGTGACATATATAGCAATATGTAGAAAGTCAAGTATCACTAAGGCCCCAGAACTTGTCATGTCATGTCGTGTGGTTAAGACAAAAGTAAGCTAACTCTAATCAGTAGGATAAGAGGCTCCTCTATGCAACAATCCGCCAACAGACGAGACACAACTCCAGTTTAAAGAAAACGAGTTTTCCCCCCCAACAGGGATTAAAGGATTAAATTCAAAGAGCGTCCTGCCCAACATCACGTAGTCGGAGATACGTTGATCGAGAGATTAGTGCGTTTGTTTTGTGTTCTGTTTTGAAAAATGGAGTGGGTGTCTTAATGCCGCTTAATCGGGGCAACGCGATCTCCCGGGTAACCAAGTCAGGGCTTGGCCGCGCGCGTTTGAAATATCGAAATGCCTCGGGCAAGGCTCGCCCTTGTCGCTTTTTACCGACAAGTACTTCACCTGTACCCACCACCACCACCCCCCCCCTCTTTGCATGCAGGAACACACGTATCTGTCAGGCGACAACGCAGGTGATTTTTAGCACCAACGACTTCTCAGCGATAATAAGTCGCAGAGAGAAAAATAACTACTCGCTGAGAATCTCTTCCGCGTCGCAAATGCGTAAATTTGCGCCTTTTTCGCAAAATCATGAACGACTGACATTGATCCGTGCAACTTATCTAATGATATATAATTTTCGATTTAACAGAGAAATTGATGCGATACAAATGTGGAACATTGAGTGGCATTACAGTAATTTCGCCAACGAGGAAGGATTAAACGTGACGTAAAATTTGTGAGAATACAATACACTGAATACAGTATTACACATGGATAAATAGGCTAAAATTGAATCGATGCAGAATCCGTTAATTTAATCTGATGCTCGATCTATGTACGTTATTGTTTATAGAAATGTAATTTTAGTCTTTCGGGTGTCTCATTTAACGCTGACTTGATGATTATTTCAACGTCAAATTCCAACCCAGAATTTTCATATTTTAAGCGGATGCTCAAATAAATGAAAGACAACGTGGTCGACGTTTCAAAAACCATAAAGTATTTTGAGTCTTTCTTTCCGATTTATAGGACTTTAAAGTTTTGTGTAAGAACTTATTTCTTAATTTGCGAACCCAGTACTTGTTGCTTATGAAATGTATTGTTTTCTCTTAGTCTTAACGTAAGTTTTCGGTTTGGAAATTCACAAAAGGGTAATTCGAATTGATCTTCCTTAGTGACACGTGCTGACCCAAAAGGTCATGATTTCGCAGAACCAAATGACACCAGAAAACGAACAAATATTCTTGATTTGCATTTATTAATTTTTTTCCAAAAACTTTGTCATGGACCTTGCGACAAATTTTAAATTTTTCACGCACCCGCAACAGTTTCCGGAAATTATGCCGAGGAGAAAAGAAAAAGACGCCAGACTCAAGCTACAATATTCAACCGGAAAATGATCTAACACCAACATCATTGTTCAAGTCAAAACAAAAACTGCTTGTGGGAAAATCTGATGGCACATGACAAGCCGTGCAAATCACAGCGATGGCGAGAACGACGGCTGACCATGGATAATTTAATGTCAGGGGTTGCGACGACGATGAACAAAGGCCAATGTTAAAAGTAAAATAAACGATTAAGCGATTTGTTGGAAGGTAAGTGAGGCAGGCTGTTCCTCCTCCTAAGATGATTTATTTAATGACTAGGTACTTTCATGACAAAAACTTCTGTGCTTTTTTTTGAACAGACAAGTACTAAATTTGCTTGAGCTCCTCTTGAAACTTTTTTATTGAGTCGCAAATCAAAACTCTTTTGACATTCATTTATTCTGCACACATCGACGGCAATTGGGAATAAAAATAAAAATACAGCATTACTGATTAGTGCCTTGAATTTTATAAGAACCGGAGTCTTGAGTTGATTTCTACACTAGGATAACAGCTCAAAAATCAATGAATATTTTCTTCATGCGTGCCACAGAATGGCTTAGAAAATGTGAAATATTGCATTCGAATGTTTTTAAAGCTCTGTGGGGCATTTCCAGCATTTGATGTGCAAGAAAGTGCGAATCCTTTGTAAAATTTTGCACTTTCAGTATCAAAGCCACTCTTTCCTGACGAGCAGCAACTCCGAGGATCAGCAGTTTTAACCCTCTCAGCACAAATCCTCAGAAAACTGCATTCATCTAATTCGTGGTTTTTGCGGGAGATTCGGCCCCAATTTTTTCCCTCAATTTTAAAAATTAAATGAAAAAGTTTGGAATTTCATCCAGTACCGTTAAAAAAAATATATATATGAAGGAAGGATTAAACCAGAAGTTGCAATCAAACCTCTTACCTGTCCAAAGTGCCCTTCGCCGATGACATTGAGCAACTTGAGCTTCTCGCGAGGAAATTCCCACGGTGACCACTTGGGCTGACGAGGATTAGACCCTCTGGCGCTTTGTACATCCGCCTGCAAACAATTATAACAATAATAAGCGATATTAGAGAACACGGTCCATCATTAAAGAGAACTCAAATGCTCGAGGAGACTCGAGAAGAATCGTTCAATCACGCGAATGCACTCCCCGGAAATCCCGGTACGGTACAAGTACAGTACATGTACTCTCTCAATTTCAAAGCCACGACATGAAATTCCAACTCATTCCATTCCTCATTCGTTTTTTNTGACGAGGATTAGACCCTCTGGCGCTTTGTACATCCGCCTGCAAACAATTATAACAATAATAAGCGATATTAGAGAACACGGTCCATCATTAAAGAGAACTCAAATGCTCGAGGAGACTCGAGAAGAATCGTTCAATCACGCGAATGCACTCCCCGGAAATCCCGGTACGGTACAAGTACAGTACATGTACTCTCTCAATTTCAAAGCCACGACATGAAATTCCAACTCATTCCATTCCTCATTCGTTTTTTTTTCATGTTGTTGTTCCTTCTACCACTATATAAGTACTCAGAAATACATTCAAAAGTGCTCGAAAAGACAAAAGGAAAAATATAGATTTTGGTTCTTCTCCATCGAGATTTGAGACGCCATAAAATCAGCCATGCGAAACAAAATGATGACCGCAGATGAGAGCAGCGATTTCTTATTGGACAGGAAATCTCTCTAGAAATTTGCTACTTCTCTCAAAGCGGGGAAATCGATGCCTTCTTCGACGTTCCATCCTCGAGAAAACCACATAAGCTGAAGCCTCATTTTCAATTCTTGCCAATTCGGAAAAATATCCCAAGGACAGTTTCAGGTCATTTAAAAACTGCTCTTTGCAAGAAAAACGGCCAGGATGTGAAAATAACTTTCCAGCGCATTCTTTACGACCGGTTTTTTTCCCGCACTACATCATCCAGGCCGGGTAACTTTCTTGACACGTCAGGGACGATCGGATTGAAATTTTTGTATTCCGGCGCTTCCGGAATTTTTGTCGAACGCTGTTCATAAATTTAAAACCCGGTCGATTTTTCACATCGGCAATACCTCGGTTTACTCTGTGGGAAAGATACAGTACTTAATTTTGACTACCACTGTGTCTATTGACGTCTGCACAAAGCACTCACGACAATGTAACGAAAATAGGCGATACAGTACTGTACAGTCAAGAAAAAATCACAATCAAATAAGTTAAGTCAAAGTGTTTCTTTGCACAAAAACAATGGGTTTCCTCGCATGCTGCTTGAAGTTTAATTATTTTCACTCCCGTCTCCTAAATGAATTATTTTTAGATGGTCAACAATGGCTGTCTCTATTATTGTCTTGATACCGATTTAACCTCAATTTAAGAACATAGCAGTACTTCACATTTAGCAATACTTATTATAATTTTCATTTGCTTAGCAATATTCATTTTCCGATGAAAATGTAGGAATTTCGATCGGATGCAATATGGTTATGAAAACACACTGAAACAATCCCCTATACTTCATCCAGACAATGAAAAAAATTACCTGAATGAAACTTTGAGCTTATTGAAAAAGGAAAAAAAGATGTCAAGACACCGAAAATAATCCTTGGCAGCTTATTGTGAGAGAAATATAGGAAAATTGTAAATTTACAACATGCCATGCCAACCCCAGCAGTTGCGGCATTTTCCAAGAAAATCAATCATTCAAACAAATTTTGAAATTCCATTCAATGAGAGGAAAACTGTTTGACACATTTTCAGCGTACTGTGAAATGATTGGAAAATTTTGTCAAAACCCGGAAAGTTTACCCGTCTCATCAGGCAGTGCCTTTGAAAATATCTTGAAATCCTTTTTTTTTAATACCAGACGCTTTAAAAAGAATCGTAGGAAAAATCAGCTATTAACATTTTAAAGACGTTAGAAATATCCAATATCGCGCATAATTGGTATTAGAACTCCTAAGAATGTGTTCGTATTGATGACTGAAACTCCCCAGTCTTTTTTACCTTGACTCCAGCATACGCCTCCTTTTTTGGCAGCCCCCTTTCCTCAATTTAAACTTTATTTTCAGTTTAACTTCCACGGGGGAGAAGGACTTTGAAATATGCCCCAGGAGACACGCCAAAAACAGAAGGACGCTCTCACGAAGTCCCGAGTGAAAAAGCGATTCTCCGCAATTCACACACGCCCAGGCCCGAGGCAATCGCTCATTGGCCCCTTCCGATATACTGCAGTTCCCGATAAAACGCGCGAAACCAGACAAAATGTATTGTGAAGAAGGGTGTTCACTTTTTTGTAGTTGTTTTTTGTTTCCAGAGATATCGAGAGGTACCCGGTATTAGGATTCGAAAAACGAAACTTCCGTGACCGTGAGAAAATGTTTTGGCTGACACCTCGTATTATAAACCAGGAAATGGAATCATTGTTTTTGTTGCTGCATTCCCTTGACTGATGCGCCTGAAGCCACGTGAACGATCAATCGTTTCATTGCCCCGGCAATTTGAGGTCATTAGTCGGATTCGATGGTATTCTTTCGCCTTCACCTTCAAACACTCAATCAATCAATCAACAACAATAAAAAAAAAACCCCAAATGATTCTTTCACTTTCAACGGAAACATTTCGCTCTTTGAGAATCGTGAATAATTTAACGGAAAACAGCGAGGAACTTTTCCTACAAGAAACTTTACTGTATACACGATGCCGTGCATCAAATGCATGCGCCAAATGAAATTTGCGCTTCATCTCAGAACTTTGCAGGAGCATTATTTGGACACATTCCAAAACAATCGAAAGAACAGACTTCGCCTCATCAAAGAGCGTGATCGAACAGTGAAACACTTGTTCTGCTTAGTTTCTGTGGCACGTCTAACATCTTCGAAATGGTTCTTCATTTAAGTACTTAAAAAATCATGATGCCATGACCATAAATACAAAACCATACGTCAATACGTGTGTTTACAGAACAGTCCGCACGCGATTCATTAGAGCACTTAGTGGAGTACGGCTAACACTTTTTAGCAAGTTGTTATTTTTTATCGTTGATATTTATGAATATTATTCTCAATTTTTTTAAATGTAAGATTTGGATACTGTACTTGGAATTTTATGAGGCAATTTTTACGTCAGCAACATCTCTCAATAACTTCTTGTTCTTATATATCCATTGAGAGACAGCAAATTTGGAGGAATAACACACCTCTGCAATTCGATTTCCGAAAATATTGTGATTTAAAACACCAACATGGAAATTTTTGGGTACTGTGAAAACCACTTCCATTCGACAGTATTTTCTCAAATATACTTTCACAGAAATCCCTCGATTACTCCACTTGAAATTCTTCACACGAAAATGCCGACTGTAAAAGTAAGATGGCCTTTTCTTGAGGTAAAATAAAAATGCAATACAGTATATATCTGATAAGAAGCATGTTGAGCTGCTTAAGCTTTATACACCAGTTTCAGCGCCTTGACACTTTATGACAAAAAGCAGGATTAAACTCCTGTTTCTTTGTACCAAAAACGTCGCCAGAAATTCGTTTGTTAGAAATTTTGGCTTACCTAAAAAAAAAAAATCCAGAACGAACGTCTGCATTGGAAGCAATCACGTGCATCACCTTGAAATCTCAGACGGAAATGGAAAGCCATAAAATATTATAAGACGTGAGTTGATGTTCCACACCCAATTTACAGAAAAAAAGGGGTCTCATATTCGATCAGATTGCCTATATTACCGTCATCTAGGATAGGAAAGCGTTGCGGAGTCCGCTAGTTTGTTTCTTTTCTTCGATTTTTGTCCCAGGGCCTGATAGAACTTCGTTATATTTTGTTTATTTTCGAAGCCTTTTTTAAATAAAATTAGGTATAAGGGTCGCAGAGCAATCACATTAGCAGTCATATAAGAAGGGTGGTTTTTATTCGACATTCGATCCACCGTTGGGCGCCACTGGCGCTGGAATCAGTCACCCACCATCATTCCCAAGGCCCGTCACAACATGTGAACATGCACGTAACTGCATCACGGATTGACACGATTGCCTGGCTCCCGAAAAAAAGAAAAGAAAAAGAGGCTGATCCGCTAATCTGGTCATCTGACGCGTGAGCAATCAATAATCCCTCGGATTCTGTGCATTGTATCATTTTTCAAGTTTCCGTTCAGGCGTAGAAGAGTTTTCTTGCAGACTATTACAGTATTCAGGGAAGGACTTTTAAAATGTTTTTTGAGTTGGCTTGCAGCTGAAACCCCCCAGATTTTGTAACACATAGCGACATACCCAACGACCACAGAATAAGAAAATAAGAAAAGAATGAGGCACTGATTTGTAGGAAGGTGGAACTGATGAATGGATCAGTACAAGAAAATAACTTTCTGGATTGAATTATTTCTGTGCACTGAAATTTTATGATTAATCTAATAGCGATGCTCTGCAAAAAAAAAATGCACAGGGCGACATATTAAATGCGAAGATTGATTCCCTAATTTTACTTAAAAATAATCAATATTACGTTTATGTACGCTGCAAGCGTCGTTGATCTGAATTATTCCTAGTGATGGGAATATCAAACGTAAAGCCTTCTTTGTTTCCTTTATTCTTCTAGATCCACTTTTTATTCCCACCTTCATCGCCGCAAATTCCATTGATTCAACAATTTATAAATGCTGTATGAACTCCATTAATTTTTTACACCAATTTTCAGCCACTCAAACTGAAATAAACGGAAGTTTACTGGCGGATCATTGACAAATCGTGATTTGCGTCAACTCTGTTGCGCAAAAATGAATAAACAGATGTCGTAAAAAATTACGACTTCTCATAAATCTTACCTCATCGTATTGGCGAATGAGTGTGGACAAAACTTAATTTCCTTGCAAGTGAAATCAATCGTGAAAAACATAATATACTGTACGATCAAACGAAATCGTGTCTCAAAATTTCAGGAAAAAATTACTTCAATGGAGTATTAAAGGCGTACGGAAATTCCTGCGAAAAGTAGTACAAGTGAAAAGTAGTATACAGAATTTTAATAGTAGCCAATTACTTTATGACATCATTATTAAAGTTATAGTGATTTAAAGGGGATCACAATTTAGCCGGCAGATTGCATGATTATCTTTGACTCCATAGATTCAAAGTTTTGGGCGTCAAAATCGAAAATAAAATATTGCGTAACGTACTTCAGTGATCAACGATAGTTTACGACCGGTAGAGCATGAGTAAATCAGCAAGACATCACCACAAGTACTACAGTACGATATCTCGATGCGTGACGAAATTCATCCAACGTTTGAGACGCAAATTTATTCGAAACATGATGCAACCTGCATTTCTCACGCCTTTGTCAAAAGCTCCCTTTATTAAAATAAAAAAAAACACAAGGACCATGCTGGTGTGATCTTCACAAAGGGCATTCATCACACGAATGAATCCCCTCGGAAGAACAACACACGTTCGTTAGATGACCTGTCAAGACAGAGCAACGCTGTAACTATCAGTACGTAGCCTTCAAAGCCAAGTGCTCGATAGAACAATGGAAAAGCTCAATTAGCTTCACGCCGTGATAAAACAAAGCGGTTCGGGAGGGGTTATCATCATCATCGTCAGACACACACATATGTGCAGAAGTTCGTTTTTTAAATTTTTTATTTGGCGCCATGGAATCAAAATGACGATCTCCTTCCTCTTTTTTTTTTTAAATCTTACGTGTGATTCGACATGCGTAGTCATTAAACGAATCCTTAGAAAACAGATTTTCATTCATGTGATCCGGATTAACCCCCTCTTCCGTTCAGGCAGCATTAAAAAGTTGAATTTCCGGAAACTCTAATTAGAGCTGTGGGAAAATGCACTAGAAAACTACTGGAATACGTAAACTAAACAGTAATGTATTCATAACTCAGACGTTTCTAAATGTAAGGTATGGTTCACATGTTCTGTCGGTATATATTGTGATACAAGTTTTTGAGTCCGTATCGTAATGAAACAAGCTGGGGAAAATCAAGAAAAAAGGGAAGCATTCCAGATGCATGAATACATTTTGTATGGTTTGTAAGATTTCTAAAATCTTAAATCTCAAGATTTTTTATTATTTGGAATATTTGGCATCACTCGCCAATTTTTGTGAAAATTCGCAAAAATGGCAGACAAGACAGATGCATTTTCTACAATAAGAAAATACATCTGTCAAACTTCTTCAGACTCCTCTACATACTAATCAAGGCGAACAAAGATTGGAGCAGCAGTGACAAGTTTTTCTAATAATACTCTGCAATACAGTACATTTCTCCAATTTTATGCATCCGATATTGGAAGCAAATAACTCGGCTCTTACAGTTTCAGAAAACGACAAAGACCTGCAAATCTCCCGGGAAATTTAATTACAACATTGTAACGAAATATGAAAATTATTTAGGTTGCTAGTAATTACTGATATTAATCAGTAGTAAAGTTCTCTGATTGAAACGAAGTTATTTTGTGCATCCCTTTTTGTAAGAGATTTACTTTTGTAACGACCTTAAGGAGTAATCGTAACAAGGTCGGCAGCAGAACGATTTTACGTTAAATTCGAAAAGTCAATAATTTAGCTGAAAAAAAAATCACCCCGAAATATTTCAAGGCGAAGGTTTTGCAAACAGTAGTCTCCCGCTGCTGTTTTTTTCCCCCAACATGCTAATCGCGCATTAAC